AAAGAAAATTGGAAAGTAACTCACCCGCGGCATCTTTAAAGCGTGTCTCGATACTCTCGATGTTCGAATTGGCGTCGCGATGCTTTCCTGCAAAGAGGACTGCAAGCGAGCGTTTTATTTGGCGACGAAGGAAGACGGTTGACGACGGTACGGTTTTCTCAGGGCTTCTCGACTGCAACCCTAACAGCGGGGGTGCGATCGCTTGCGTTCACCACGAACGATGGGACTTCACTGAGGCGGCGTCGACGGATCGGCGTCGCGACGCTTCTGCCGTTTTGTTCCTGAGAATCCCACCGCGGGTGGCGGGATCGCGTGTCGTGCACGGCGTCTGAACGCGATTCCCGTTTGCGCCGCAAGTCAACGGGGACGGGGGTGCCGTATACGAGGGTGTCCCAACACATGTACCCTCCTACGAGAGCGGCAACATAGACGTGGTGTGAATATTTCAGTCGGGAGAAACGAAATTTGCCACCTGATTACGTGTAAATGTGAAGAGAATGTTCAACTTGATATCTTATCAATTTTTCATTCAACGTTTGTTATATTAAAAATATATATAACAATTAAAAATATATATAATTTTCTTTTATCTAAAATATAAGAAAGGGATTAAGACAACAAATGAAAAAACAATTTTGATAAATATTTAGAGAGAAAATATATTTATACATTTAGTATATTATATTTTATTACGTTTGATTGTAACACACACAGAATATGATAATTTTTGATAATCATTGAAGATACATAATTAGTACTAATTAATAATAATAACAATTTAATGTATAATAATTAACTTAAAATTCTAATTTTGCTTGCCGCTGAACAGAATTACATCTTTTTCTCGCTTTGTTCTTTTTTTCTCAATATGATTAAAGAATTATCTTTTAATTGTTTTATAAAACTGTCTGATTTCAAAAAATAAAAAATAAATATCGGAAATGTCCTCGATAATTGATGAACAGACAATCTTTCTATCTTGTGGATACCGCTTGTCGTGCTTGCCTATTGGAACTAGCCGATCAAAACTTTCTTTTCGTGTAATTGCCCGAAGGAACGACGGATATCGTTTCGCATGTTCGACCACATAATTATTTCCTGCACGCAGGGAAAATATATTTCTTTCGTACTCGTCGATGGAGGCAATCCGCGAATGGTACACCTCCCTTCCGGGGTGGTTGGCTCCTATTATGCTTTTCCAATCTGGAGAGTCGTCCCCGTGCCTTTCCATGTGGAAACCCAATGCGAGCTTATCGCTGCGGTCACGTTAGTTTGCTTTCGGAATTTGGCCCACAAGGGATATATAGGTTACATGGTACCGCGCATTCGGAAACGATAAACCTCCTTTTCCCCGCGCAATCCTTACAAAATTGTGTCTTCAATTCGTGAAATGAATTATACTACTTAACTTTACCATTATCCCTCAACTACGGATTAGAAAAATTAGTTTTTTTATTTTCAAAATCAACTTTTTTTAAACTAAATTCATATAAATATTCCTGTTCTACATTTTTATTTTATTTCTTTCCTATTACGTTATTAATTAAGGAATGATTTACATGTAGAAAGATTTATTGCATTATCACATGCGCGAAGTTAAGCTTATCTTCGCCTAATTATGCGAAGCAGAGACTGAACATTGTAGTAAATTAGAAAAATGTACTGTTAATTGCTGGCGTTTATATTTTTATTATTTTTATCAGAAATAAAAAGTAAAACGGAGAGAGATAGATTTACTATCGCAGAAGCCTCTATTTCTTGTCACGAGGCGTTTCCATTTCTGTCAGTGTTATCAGGACACGCGAAGGGTTAATGTCCTAAATTACAATGGGGGTAAATCTATTTGCAGATTTAATGTGTCGAAAATTCGTACAACATGCTGCTCCGGCTAACAAGATAAGATTGTGAAATGTATTTAAGAAACCGAATTTGAAGCGGATGTCGATAGATACAGAAGTACGTATCGTTTAATCTTTCTATTGAATTATATGACTTTACCGCATTACTATACACGATAGAGTTAATATAACAATATTATTATAAATACTAACCCGAAAATAGTCATCTGAATGTTTTAGCACATCATAGCGGCGAGAAAATATGAATTGTTGATTGTTGTAAGATATTATTTATAAAAAACGTATTAGATAAATTAAATAAAGAAACGTTATATTAATAAAAAATTTTTTTTAGAAATACTCTTATAATAAGCCATTTAACATGCTTATTCCATTTAAAATTTGTTGCTATAAATATTTAATTTTTTTAGAAAATTTCGATTAAATCTGTATTTATGTTTTCAAATATGTTATTAATAACAGATTGTTATTGGGATTAAAACATCCCTGGTGATCGTTTATTTACATAAAAGAAAAAAAATCAGATGACTATTCCCGAGAAAGAAAACAATTCAAAAAGGGATCAAGCGATTACATACGGGAATCGAGATTAAGTACTAGTGCGAAATACATTTGTAAGCCATCAAAATAGCCATAAACCTCTCGGGGTGGGCCGCCCGTAAACGAAGACTCTGTAGTGGAGTCCTTGTGAGTACTTCGATCTGAACTTGAGTTTGACGAAGTTGTAACCGATTCCGCCGGCGGTGACCCACGCCGCGCCGTTATCTTCATCGGAGAGCGAATTGATACGTATGCACGTGATTCTCGCATTAGTCGGTCCATAATCCGCCTCTACCTCCTAGTTACAATCGAGAAACCTTTGTGAGTGGATTAGGGTAATTGTTTATGAGTGGATCGAAATTCAAAAGAGATTCATGTGCGATTAACAGGACTCGGTTTGTGATAATTGTAAACGCACTTGATAACCACCGATTCGATACGGTCTTCTGACCACATATTCCCAAATCAGCTCGTCATCGACATCTTCTTGACACTCCCAGACTTCCTGTGTCGCAAGCGAAACGGCGCAGAGAAGCAGAAAAGCTGAGAATCGAAACCGCATGTCTCCTCTCGGTCCTCGATTTTCTTCGACGATGAATGATGCGCCATGGGAAGAGAATACCAATCATTAATGAATAGAGATATCGAGGAAAAAAATAAAAGAAAAAGAAAAAAAATAGAACATACGATAAAAGTGTGTTCTTCACTCTATATGATCCTTCCGGATATTTTCGTGAGAAGACGACGGTTTATTGTCAAGCGACTGGGTACTCCGGATAGCACTAACCGAAAGAACGATATTGATAGCCAGTACGATATCGATACCCACCGATATCCCCTTCTGGAATACAATATTTACTCGTTGCTTTGTAGCCGTGGAGATTAGATACAATGTCGGTATATCATATATCCGCCTGCCCGTGTTGTTCCGAGAAGAGCAAGCGGATAATCGACGAGCCTGGCCTCTTCTCTGTTACGCAATTCACATCAAATCGTTTAACGTGTTTATTATGGATCCTGATGGCGAGAATTCAAAAACGATCGAGCTCGAAAGAAACGAGTTATGTGTCTACTGATAAAAATTTTGTTGAATTAACTGATATTCTGATGGATTTTTTCAAGGAATTTAATCAAGGAAATTCTGAATGTTAGTTATCTCAACTAGAATTCTAATAGATTTAACCAAAATTCTTGTTCATTTTCCATCAAAATTTCAATTAATTCAACCAAACATTTTTCTCCATGCACTGTTAAATTCATAATGTCAAGTTATATCCAATTGGAATTATTTTTAATCATTTCTATTATTCACCATTACTACTCAATATAACGTTAATTTTATTAAAACAATGGAATTAAACAATTCAAGAAAATATATTAAATTTGACTCAATTTTTTTTTATTATTTATTAAGTACATACGTTAATATGGACATTATTTACTTCGAAATTAATCACAGAAATAAATTGATTTACATTTTAATATTTATGAAAGTTAATTAACTTAAGAGGTTTGATTACATAACATCTTTAACATCTTGCATTGTGTGATTAAATGAGTTAAATCCATTTCTATTATTAGATAAATTGACTTTTATCTCAGTTTAATATATTTTGTATCTTGTTCTAGTTTTAAGAATCAGATAAAGATAAAGAATAAGTTAACCTTAAGCAGTATTTGTTTCGAAAATTTTTAACTAGTATTTACGAGTAGTATACTTATATCTAGTATATATACTTATAAAATTAAATTAACATAAATGATTGATTTTTTTTCCATTTTGAAGATCAAAATTCGAAGAATAAAATTATGTAACTTAAAATTATATAATTATATTAATAATATAATTGTGAAAAACATTTGTTATAAATAATTTTTTACAACACAATTGAAGAAAAAGTCCGGGTTCCCTGGATCGCAAATATCGATTAGGATTAAACCGAGATGAAAGCTAATCTTTATTGGTAGAAACATGGACATTAGATAGATACGTTCCATGCAAATTTTCATGCAACTCTCTGAGAATTTAAAGCAAACTGTCAAACTGTCACGCGACTTATGAATTATTAGTTGAAATCCTAGGACTTAAAAGGAAATAACGAAAATTCCATGTATCTTTATGTTGCGTTGCGATGCTTCTTCGCCTTTTTCTTTCAAGAATGTCTCATATTTCCGTAATTGTTTGAAAAGACACGATGTTCTTTGATTTGACAGTGTTCTGTTTTTTTTTATCGAATTTCTTGATACCTCCAAGTATATGACTGCAAATGATATTGTGTAATCATTAATCAGCATCATATGCAAAATCAACTTTGCCAACCCTGACCTCGCTGACAACGTCATTCCGCAACGAATATCTCACTGATTATATTTATTCTGTTTTTATGTAAAACCCTGCTTTATCTGTTCGACAAATTTGCGAAGCTACACGGGAATTGACTCCGACTATTATAAACCTGTACGTCCTTTGTATACAAAATTAATTACTGAACTACTATATATAGATAATATAATATAGATAATAATTTAAGAATGTATCATGTACTTACAGTCTTTGCAAAAATAATTGTAACTGATATTGAAAAATTTAAATTTTCCGTATAAAAATGAATGATGTATACATATGAAATTCAATATAATTAATATATATATTGAACAATACAATTTTATATGTTAAATTAAAATTTTCTCATTTTATCTTAATTATTTTTTAAAATTTGTATCTATTTTTTGTTGAAATAATTTTTCATCCAGATTCTAAATCAAAATTTTTATTTTACTTTCATATATTATTAAAAAAATTGAATTTTTTAATATGTTTTATTTTGTTAAAAAATATTGTACATATAATATATTCTTAAAACCAATTACTAAATTAATTATATGACACTATTCCTTCCTCGATTGATCATGATTCATGAAGTCAAATAATTCAGAATGTGCCGCAAGAAACGAGTATGAGAAGAATTTACAATAAAGAAGAGAAGCAAAATATCCAGCTAGTTACTAACAATTTAGTTATTTTCTATAATTTTTTAGTAAGCATTTTAAAACTCTCCTTAAAATGTTTTATTAATGTACCCTTTGCGTTTCAAATAATGTTTTCAAATAAAATGATTTAAAAATGGAGCTGCCTACATAAAATCAATGCTGGCCATTGGCCATATTTTGCATAGAGCATGTCTCTGAAGTAACAAGTACCTATTTTTGGTCTAAATGGCGTGAAAAGCGTAATTTCAAGCGAAAGAAGAAAAGGGATATTGAATTGTAAAATATTATTGCAACCAATGAATAATAGCGAGAGGTAAATGACTGGTAGTAGACCAGACTATCGCTATGTCAGCCAGGTGAATCGGTTCCCACAACGCCGTGCCTGGAACCACGCGGCTCACGTTGCCTAAGGAAATGACTTTACTTCTTGTTCTCTCTCTCCACGCCTCTAAACCAAGTTAGCAACTTTTAAGTCCTTTTACTTTGTTGAGTTTTATTAACAAAATCGACTCGGGGTTATCGTTATTATCGTTATTATATCGAAAGCAAGAGTCATCGTTATTACGTTATTCAGAATATTATGTATCGTCTTAAGTAGAAACGGAAGGAGGCGTCGCTCTGTGAATGAAAGCTCGGCTAAGTTTATGGATAAGATAGACGCCCTTATCGCGTGCTTTTCCTGAAGGAAAGTAAAAAATAAGAGAAGGGTACTGGCGTATATTGATTTATTTTACTAGCCGTCGTCAAGGAACTGCATTTCAATATTATTGCATGATAAGGTTGCGTTACACACTTTATTGCCGCCATTGTCCAAATCTCCGACTCACGCCCTTGTTCAGTGAAAAAAAGAAACAGAGTCAACTTGTGACTCTTATTTCCGTTTTCGTTTGTAATAAAAGATGCAAGTTCATCAGAAAGTGAACACTTCGTGAGGTATCTCTTATTTTATGCAATAGAATGGCTGGAATATATAAATAAAATATCTGATGAAATATTCGCTTTCTGAGATGATCTTCTCTTAACTTAGACTTATCTAAAAATACTTTTATACTTACTTAAAAATATTAGAATAGGTAGGAAATATTATAAATGTTATTATTCATTTACCTTGTAGAAGTAATTATCAGAATATATCATCATAAATAACGAGAGAAGTTTGAAATTGGGTCATCTTCACCATAACTCGCATTGACTTTTGAAGATAGATAATTTTCATTTTTAAAGATAATTCTGTATATTTCGCGATGTTTACTGTCAATTAGTTTACTATCCTTATATTTAATCGTCAGTCACGTTCTCGTATTTTCATCTCTAACATGATTTTTTTATGGCGAGGCACATGGAGGAATTATCAATGATAAAACTATCGCCAGACAGCTTTTGAATATCATGTCTTATCAGGTGAATTTTTCCGTTAACTCGCGAACATTTCCGTTCATTGGTTTCTTTTTTATCATCGTCGGAAAATCGATATTTCAGATCACTTTTATCAGTCCATTTTAGTTTTAGATTCTTGAAATTAGATATTATTCGGATATATTGGCTTATGTGAATGCTGAATAGAAGTGTGAAAAATAATGATGCTTTTTCATTAACAGATTTGATCAGTTCGAATTTTTCTGCTAATTTGCGAACACATTTTCAAAATTATTTTTTAACCAGATAAGGTTATTAATTTCCAATTTATATAATAAAAATTGACGTATGTAATACGTCAAACAATGTAATATGGTCGTAATCCCACGCGATTAATTATATATCAGTCGAACTGAAGACGATTGAGAGTTAATTTGATAGCAAAGTTGATTTTGCTTGATGACGCGAATATTAGTACTATCTATTTGCAGAAAGAAATAGTTAAGTGAAGTTTCAAAGAAGGAAGGGAAGGAAAAAGGAGAAAAAAGACAGATAAAACCGGCGAACCGACTTCTCTATTCTCTCTCTCTCTCTCTCTTTACGAACCGGCGACCCCGAGCTGTCAAAGTCCGTCAGCCAGTGTTGCCCCCGGGTCATTTCATGTATAGCGCGAGGCATTATTTACTTCACGCGTACAATCGCGTCGTGAGGAGATTATAAGTTCCATCAGCCAACCAGCAACACGTTGGTGAAACGCCCTCATGTGCAAAATGCATTACATCGCACTCGTTAGTATGAACAAATAACGATTTCAGCGAACGATCGATCTGATCGACGATATGATCACGATGACATACATTAGTCATTATTCCTCCGTTATAATAGTATATCGGAAAAGACAAAAGAATTATCAAAAAATCACTTTTGTTAAAAATACTCCATACTATATTGCAATATTTTGTAAGTTTTAGTATGAAGTATTTATCAGTGCAAATAAATCTTATGGTTTGAAAATTATAACAAAAAAATAAAGAATGTTGCTTACATAAATTTTTAATTTTGATCCTCTATACTTTTGGTTTTTTTTATATCAATTTCAATTGATTTTCGCTGATTAATATAATTTTAATAGACAAATGGATAAGAGATATATCTGTATTTGTGGAATTTATTGCAATACGAATGTAATAGATCGTATAGAAATATATTAAAATATTAAATATATTTAAATATATTACAATACATACATATATATATATGTATACGCGCGCGCGCGCGCGCGCGCGTGTGTGTGTGTGTGTGTGTGTGTGTGTGTGTGTGTGTGTGTGTGTGTACATACGTAATCAATTGACATAAATGCTTTAGCTTGTTGAGGAATAACAAAAATATATATTACATATAATTTAATATATTTTTTTTAATATTTATTAACAAAAAATTGACAATATGGATTGTATTATCAGA